GAGTTAGACCTGGAAAGACCTTCCGGTAAGACTTCATTTATTTTATTGGGTGATTGAGGTGGCTGTAGGTTGTTCACTCGTTGGGCATTCGAACACGAGATGGAGGCTCAGAACGCTCCTGAGATCCTCCGAACCAACTTAGGAGGAGTGGTGAGTACTTCTATAGTGGCTTCTTCTGGAGTGTTCATATACGCGACAGTGTATCGAAGATATACTATGTATATCGTAGTGTATAGTATGCATAGTATGTATAGTATGTATAGTATGTATAGTATGTATAGTATGTACAGTATGTATAGTATGTATAGTATTTATAGTATGTATAGTAGTGTATAGTATGTATAGTATGTATAGTATGTATAGTATGTATAGTATGTATAGTATGTATAGTATGTATAGTATGTATAGTATGTATAGTATGTATAGTATGTATAGTATGTATAGTATGTATAGTGTGTATAGTATGTATAGTATGTATAGTATGTACAGTATGTATAGTATGTATAGTATGTATAGTATGTACAGTATGTATAGTATGTATAGTATGTATAGTATGACAGAGTGTATGTCAGGTATTGATGATGAAATCGATAGGAATCGACGATCTGCTCAACTTTGACTTTATGGATCCCCCTCCACCACAAACTCTGGCCAAAGCTCTGGAGCAGCTCTATGCCTTGCAAGCCTTAAGCTCAACAGGGCAACTCACGAAGTATGCACCTGGTCGTAGGTGTGGGTGTACAAGGTTTTCTTAGGTTGGGCCGTAGGATGGCCACCTTGCCGATGGACCCATGCATGTCCAAGGCTATATTGGCGGCTGATAAGCTCAAGTGTGTTGATGAGGTGAGCGCGTTGTTGTTGTAATTAGTGCGTGCTAATTTCATATGCCAATGTGGAGTGTGTGCGTTTTCTATTTCGAGATTAATTATAGTGAACAACTTGTCGCTATCATAGTCTCGAAAGGTTACTTTTATCACATCACATGTTCATAGCAATGTTTACATTGTTTATGCGATATCTTCCCAGATCGCTTCTTATCAATCTCGGAAAATAAAACTCATTTTTTCCAGCTGCATATCGAACAGACACGTACTGTATGTCATTGATTGTATTCAGGTGATAGTTATCACGGCGATGTTGTCAGTGGGCAACACGGTATTCTTCTGTCCTAAGGATAAGAAGCTTCATGCGGGTAGGTCTACACTTGACACTGCAACGGGCGAGTCGTGATTGCCTTGGTGTTCAGAGCAAGCTCGGAAGTCCTTCCAGAGCCCTGCTGGAGATCATTTTACTCTGTTGAAGGTGTATCGAGATTGGGAAGGAACTAACCACAGTCAGCACTGGTGCAATGAGAACTTCGTCCAGTAAGGTTCGAGGGTTAGCAGAATGATGATTTTTTGAACGCATTCAGCAGCCAGTGGGGACAATTTCAAGAGATGTGGTATAATGATGATGTTTAGGTATCGGTCTATGACCAGAGCTCGAGATATCAAGGAGCAAATAGAACACTTGACGGAGTTGGTCGAAGTGGATAGGAGTTCCGATCCTCACAACATCAATGCCATACGGCAGAGTATAGCAGCTGGGTGGGTGTGCATGAAGTAAGTTATTGCGATCTATGAATGGGAGCTCAGATACTTCTTTACGCGGCACGACTGAATAGATGGTTCGTACCGAACGGTGAAGAGTCCGCATACTGTTGAGAT